GCCCTGTGTTCTGCTGTAACACCACTGTCTTCCTTGCAAATGTTATAACGTGCTTTTCACGCATTCTCACTGTCTCCAAGGTCCCCAGCTCCTAACGGGCTCCCAAAGCGAGTTTCTCTTTCCCATTCCTTGTTTTCGTTATTCTCAATCCTACATTTCAAGTTATTTTCCCTTTGGATATATCTGGCATGAGCCATAGCAAATCTTCAATCAAAAAGTCTTGTTACTTATTTCTTTTTAAGCTAGAACACGTTTAGTTGGATATGGGTGTTTAAGTTTTTACTGTAGTTTAGGTGAAAGTTGACTGAATAAATTGGGTTTCCATCCAACAGTTGATCCAGTGTTGTGTGACATTGGTTACAATCCCCTCAGTGTGACAGCAGTCTTCTTACTTCTTCCCTGGATTCCCTACTTCCCATTCATCTTTCTTTCCTGCCTGCCCTGTTCTACCTTCTGAGCTTTGTTTTGGAGCAAATGCTGCCCTTTGGGTTTCACGTGATAGATTATGTCACGCCTGATGTCGTTATTCACTGTATAGGCCTGTCTCTTGTTTAGCTGCAAGTTGATTCCTGAGAGTGGGTTCCATTCTAGCCTTTAAGGGTCCTAAGGGGGTGGGGGTTCCACCAGTCTCTATCAGACCTGTAAACCAGTTCTCTTTTTATGATTTTGAATTTTGTTCTACACATTTAATTTTGGATACTCTTAATAAATTTAGTTTGTGTTCTTTCCATTTCCTTCCAAGCAGACATCCTTTCAGTATTTTAAAAACATTCCACACTAGTCTGTTTATATCATGTCTTGATTAAAAAATTTTTTCTGTTGGAAAATGTGTTTTTATTATAGTCAGTGTTGTTTCATAAGACACTGCTGGTAGTCCTTATTTATTTTGGTTCTTGTATTCAAATTTTCCCAAATAAAGAAGAATCCTTTCTCCATTTCTCAAATTCTCAAAAATTAACAAGTTATACTACTGAAAGCAAAGAGATAAATTATTTTATGAAAATGTATTGTGCCATTGTGTAAAAAATATGTATGCCTAGTGAATTGAATCAAAAAGGAAAAAAAGAAACCAAAACTAGCAGACCTGGATTCTTGTCCTGGGTTTGTAATAATTAGCTGGGTGCTCTAAGCAAGATTCCTAATTTTTCTGTGTAGCTTCCTTGTTACATACACAAGGTTGTCTTGGCCTCAAAATAAGAATTAAACTCTTTCCAGCTTTAATGTTCAATCATCCTATAATTCGTGGTCAGGGATAGACATTTTGAGTATTGAATGAAAATAAGTTCAAACAACTCTTTGAGCAATCTTTTGAAAAATATTATTTATGAAAGCAAAAAGAAATGGCCAGCCTTCTTCGCAAACTTCCTGGAGAAGAAAGCTGTAACTTTGAAGCAATTCCTTCTTTGAAAATAGCTGATGTTTTCTCTGGAGTTGCCTGTTTGAGGTGTAATACTTTAAAATGACAGCGCTTTTCCTATTTTCCTCTTTTGATGCTAACATTTATTCTTCGAGTAATAGTGGATAAATAAGTGGCATCTTGAATGTTTTAAACATAAGGAAACATTCGCTTTACTCATCTAGACTTAAATTGTAGGGTGTTTGTTTTGGACTAGGAAGTTCTCGGTTTCTACTCAGGGCTTCAACTGTGAAATAGACCACTGTTAAACTTCCAGTTTACCTAGGAAATGAGACCTGAGAGATTTAGGTGGCATATTGTCAAGCATTCACTCAGTTTTGCCAGAAGAGTTCTCTAATTGGGTTTTCTTTTTTCTACACTGTGTATTTTCCAAAGCAAAAGAAAGATTTCAGAGTTCATTAGCTTGAAAGCTATACTAGCTTAACATGAATTACAGCAAGTCATTGGCTCATTTCACAAATACGAGAATGTGTAGCTGCCAAGTTAAAGTTATTAATCCAATTTATATTACAGATATACAAGTGTTTTCTAAGTGCCATTAGTTATTTTTACAATAAAATATATAATCCATAGTAACTGTCATTGGGGTGATACATGCAAAAATAAAATCTGATTATCACAGTTTAAATACATGGTCAGCTCATCTGCTAACCTAAAGGTTGGTAGTTCAACCCAATCCAGGAGCACCATGGAAGAAAGGTCTGGTGATCTGTTTCTATAAAGATTATAGCAAAGAAAACCCTGTGGATTAATTCTACTCTGTAACACATGGAGGAACAAAATTGAAAATATAAGAAAAGCTAAGAAACCTGGAGAGAGTGAGAAAATCTTACAATAAACCTAATTGAGATTTCCAGAAAGAAAAAAAAAAAGAGAATAGGGAAAGACAACAATTTGAAGAGGAGATAGTGGTTGATGTTTTCAAGAACTGATGAAAGAATTCAAGAAGTCCAGCATATCCCAAGCAAGATAAATGTATCCATTTCCTAGGGCTGCCCTAACAAAATACCTCAACTGGATGACTTATAAGAACAGAAATTGATTTCCTCACAATTTGGAAGGCTTGAAGTCTAAGACCAGGGATCAGATTTGAGACTTTGTGGTAGGAGCTTTTGGTAACTGTGCATTCCTTGGCTTGCAGGTAGAGCTGTGACACACAGCATCTTTCCTGTCTTCTTGTTGCTATATATCTTCTTTTTATAAAGATGTCAATCACATAGGATTGGGAGCCACCCTCCTCCACTAGGACCTCATGTTAACCCAACTGTGATAGCATCTTCCAATAGTCTATTTCCAAATAGTGTCCTTGTCACAGGTCCCGTGATTAGGACTTTACCATCTTTTTGGGGAGAGGGGTGTGACACAATTTGTGAAAAGGAATAAAAGTAAACCCAGGTCATTACTTCATAACGAAAAGTGAGTACATCTAAGGAGGGAGGAAAAAGCCATATTACTTACAAAAGACTTAAGATTGGCAGTGGACTTCTTAATAGTTAATAGAAATATAGTACCTTCAGACTTCTGAGAGAAAATAGAATGCCAGCATAAATTATATACCTGCTGGTTCTGTCTCCAAAGAATGATGGGGAAAAAATGCTTCCATTCAAACAAAAAATGTTTTTCTATCATTCAACCTTACTAAGGAAACACATAAAAAATACACTTTTGGGCAAAGGGGAGTTTCCATAAAGAGATCTGAGCTGCAAGAAAGAATAATGAGAGCAGGAAATGCCAAATGGGAGAGCAAATCAGAAGATGGCTTATGTAAGAAAGTGGTATGACTACCCAGTTTGTGCTGTTAAAAATATAAAGACGATAAAAGTGCCAGAAACAAGAGTGTTTCAGTACAGTGTTTTAGTCTGAACCAGAGTTAAGAGATTAAGGCTAGGCCAGCATCATCTAATATGTTAGCCACTAGCCAGTCACACTTAAGTTAATATTAAATAAAACTTTAACTTCCATGTTTTAATTGAAGTAGTTACACTTCAAGTGCTCAATAGCACGTGGCTATAATGGATTCCTTAAAGATAACACAGTTATTTTTGTTCTCTCAGAAAGTTCTGTATCAGAGAGTAAAACATCCATTAACGACTCATTTCAGTTTGTCATACTATAGTGGCTTGTGTGTTGCTATGGTGATGAAAGCTGTGCCACTAGTATTTTAAATGCAAACAAGGGTCACCTATGGTAGGCAGATTTCAAAGGAGCTCCTAGACTAAGAAAGATTGGGAAGAAAGGCCTGAGGGTCCTATTTTTGAAAATTGGCCAAGGAAAGCCCTATGGGTTACGACAGAATGTTGGCTGATAGAGTGCTGACAGATGAGCCCTTCTGCCCTCTTAGATTGGAAGCACTCAGTGCACAGATGCTGCAACAGCAGACTCAGACAGAAGAATGATTGTGGGAAAGGAGAAGGACCGCGCAGTGTTTTTGTTCTGTTATACCTGGGGGCACCATGACTTGGGGCCAAGTCAGAAATCATTAATAACATGCATGTTCAAATTTCAAGTGCAGCCATTAAAGCTGTAGGATAATCACTGGACTGTGAACCACAGGGTCAGCTGTTCAAACCCACTATATGAGTCAGAACCAACTTGATGGCACTTAAAAACAGCAACACTTGTGTGCTAGATACTATACTGTACACTTTACATATGTCGTAGCATGTAATCCTCAATAGTTCTATGAGATAAAAACTTTATATTTTTATTGCTGTTTTATAGATGAGGAAAGTAAAATGGAGAGATTAGTAACTTTGCATGGATCACTTAGCTGGGATTCAGATTTAGGTCTGACACTAACAGTCCCCTTGGGCAAATCGTTTCTTTCCTTAGTCTCAAGTTCTCCAACTGTAAAACTGTCTTGCAAACATTAATAATTTGGAAGGATAAAATAATAAACATTTTCTAACTCTAACATACTACATAAACGTTTTCTGACTATTGTTTACCGTTAATATTATTTATAAAGTACCATGTAATATGTTTGCCTGTTATTACTCCTGCTGTTTATTTTTGCTATAATAAATCATTCTTCTTAACACTAAGACTTTGCTGAAAATGAGTAAAACCAGCAGTCATTTCTTTGGTTTTCTGCTATTACAGTTTTGCTGGATATTGAATGTCTCACCCTGTCTTGGAAATGTCTGTGATGTGAGAAATTTTCTAAGAATTTCAGATCTGATACATTTTCTACAGACATCTTACCTTGGTTTTCTCAGGCTAGGAAGAACAATCTAGTGTGGTAAATGGATGGCTAACGGATTGATTTTTTTTCTTTTTTTTTAATCTGCTCAGTAAAGCCTTGTGTTAAGTACAGCGGACACACCATAACACTTAAGGTGCCAGCATGTAGCTGGTGTGGTCCTGCCAAGTGTGTGATTTAAAGTAATTACCTGAGATCTATGATCACCCAACAGTCACATCGCCCGGGGCAGCTCAGACTCTCAGGTCACGCCCCAGGACCCTGTTGTGTCCCTGTTCTCTGGGGCCCCCAGCATCATAATGTAACCACCTCTGGGTTTTATGGCGGTACTTCTGGTGCAATGTCATTATATCTTTCCCCTCCACTTGTGCTGCATTGCAGGCATTGCTTGAGTCCATGGTTGATGCTGCTGAGAACCTTTGTCCCAGTGTGATGAAAAAAGCCCACATCCGACAAGACCTGATCCATGCCAGCACCGAAAAGATTTCCATTCCACGCACCTTTGTTAAAAATGTCCTGTTGGAGCAGTCTGGGATTGATATCCTTAACAAAATTAGGTAGGTTTATAATATTCATAGTCCTAGCATCTGCAGTTTCTGTGAATGCAGTCCAGGCTGGTGGGGCGAGTGTTGTTGCTGGCTTTATCCATATATAACGTGGTGGTAGGCATGTCTGACAGGCAGAGACAGTATAGAAAGAGAGCTGTGCATAAATGCATAGGGTTTATACATTTCCAAAATAAGATGTCAGCATTGCTAGAGAGCTCTCTTTAAGGGTTTTAGTTCTAAGAGGGGGGATTTCACGAATATAATCTCTATTTTCTGCTTCTGAAGTTTGTTTTTGGGGTTTTTTTTTTGTCTTTGAAAACCATTAGCTTGTGGGTTGAGATCCGTTAGCTTTCTGCCAACACCCTAGTCTGAGCAAATGCACACAGCCTTTAAGTAGGAGAAGAGGCCCATTCTGACCTTAAGCATATTTTTTTCTGAGTTGTTTCAGTAGGTTAGTGATGCTGTGTTTTGGCTACTGGTGTCTTTGTAAGATTTACATAGATTTCTGTTTGAAAAAATTTGTAAAATATGTCAAGAAATTAATGTTTTAGAGCTGTCATCACCAACAAACATTCCTAAATTTTTACATAGAGACTCTAGGTTAGTTGGTAACACCAGCATTACATATAGCTCAGCTCATCACGCTCAGTTATGTTTCTTAGATGACTGAAAACCAAGTTTGGGAACATTTAAAATTTCTCATTTTAATCATTTCTAGATCTTGATAAGAGTATTAAGGTGGTTTCAGAAAGTTTGTGGAAAATGGAATGAAAAGGTAATGGAGTTTTTCCACAAACTTTTTGAAGACCCCTCATATTTACATATAAAAAAGATACTAGCTCCTATCCAGAGAGTTGCAGGATGAGAGTGTCGTCATGAGACCAAGTGACAGTCCACAAGAAAAATGAGAGTCAAAGCACAAAAAGCCAAAAATTAAGTCATGATGGTTTGGAAATTGGATGCTAACTGCATCAAAGCTGGATTATAGAGGCTTGAAGAGGTAGGAATTTTATAGTAGCTGGGTAGGCTCAGGTCTCAGGTGCGATCATCACCTTCCTATAAAAATCCCCTGTGACTGCTCAGCTAAATTCAAGGAGGCTGGAAGGATGAGAGAAACAACAAAAGTTTTACTGTTGTTGTTAAGTGCCGTCAAATCGGGTCTGACCCAGTGACCCTGTACAGGGTTCCCAAGGCTGTAAATCTTTACGGGAGCAGAAAGCCTCATCTTTCTCCCATGGAGCAGCTGGTAGTTTTGAACTGCTGACCTTAAGGTTTGCAGCCCGATTTGTAACCACTACGCTATCAGAGCTCCTTAGAGGTTTTATGGGACCCCATTTATTAGTGATTTTATGAACTTTTGTCCTTACTAGGTATGTTGATATGTTACTATAATCAGTAGCTTCAGAGTTGGTCATTGAAGCCTCTTAAATATTAAAGAGAAAAAAACGTATTAGTCGCTTTGCTTTCACAAAGCTATGTTGAGCCACCAGTAGATCATACTTGGATGCTTTTACTCAAGGACCAAATTGTCAACTATGACCACTTCCCTTGACAGTGAGCAAAATTTGAAAGTTGAATAATAGTGTACAACTCCACATAACATACACACACAAATCATATAATGGGTATTGACTATTATCTTGACTTTTTATAAAATAGTATACGAATGAAAATATGCCTCCCTGCATATGCATGTCTGCATTTCTCTGTGTGTATACACATGCAGAATACGTTGACCTGATTCCTATAAACATTTTGATAAATGGAAACTCGGTAAGGAGGTCTAGGATCTTGAATCATCCATATGTAATTACGTTTTCAACAGAATTATTATTTTGTTTTTGTTTTTGTGGGGGGGCTTTACTTTGTTTTATATTCTGAATTAGAAGTAAAATTCTTAAAAATTAGAAAAGAATCCGAAGAAAGACTTGTTAAAATAAGATTCTCAGTCCCTTCCACTGGAGTGTTGGGCTGAGACCCAGCAATCTGTGTTTTTAAAAAGAGAATGGGTGAATCTTAGCAGTGGACACCTCTGGGGAATAATACAGCATTAGTTCAGTCAAATAGCTAGCAAAACCTCTTTCAGGGATAGGAATTAAAGAAACGTCCTTTGGCTTTTATCTTTAGCCTTGGAAAATTTCACTGTAAGCATCAAAGTGTTAGTACTTTCCATTCTTCCACCCTGCTATCAAGAGCCTTCCTGGGCAGAGGAATCATCGCAATGCAAATGATTGCCTTTAGGTTAGAAAGGTTTTTCCCTATTAAACAAATATGCTTTCAACTTTAGCTTTAGGATCAAATAATTTTATTTTGACAACTCCTTTCCCTGCTCTAAAAACTTGAAAACTGGTTAACTTCAAAGGCAGGCTGTAGTGATGGAACCATGTTGGAATATGGCTAAGTATCTTCTTAGCCTGATTATCTTTAACTGGATTGTGTGCTATTCAGATGGAAAACACACAGGGCAGTAGAATTCTTGGGAACCCAAATTGCTAAAATTCCAACGAAAATACCAGCCATCTACAGACACTTTAGTGCCTGAATCTGTTTGTTAATAAAAACTACAAACCACTCTCTGTTGACTGGGTACCTTATTGAGGTCAGCCAGGAGGTGCCCAGACTGAAAATGTTAGTAACTTCTGTCCATAAAAGTACTCAAAAAAAGATGTTTAGTCACAGCAGAAGCATTGATTTCAATGGTACCATTTGATTGCTGAAAAAGTTTTGTTTTTTTTAAAAAAGGGAGAGGGTTGTTAGTGTGGGTGGTGGGTGGGGATAGGGTGGGGATACATATTAAAGTAAAAGCCAGGGCTTAACAGACAGACTAGACTTTCTTAATTTACTCCAGCCCAGGTTTGTTTTCATTTATGTCAATGGACGAATTGTTCCTTGCCACATGGTACGTATGGTTCCTATTAGGCTTGTCTCTATCCAGATGTTTTTCGTTTCGACCACTGAACCTTGAGTTTTGAAATTTGCCGAGGCAGGTTGAAATTAGTAAAGGACATCATTACCTGTGTGTTTATGGCAGTATTGTAAGGCTTCGTTTTGGACCTCTTTCTCAGCCCTGTTCACACATTCTTATATTCTATTTTCAAAGGCAGACATGCAATGCCAGCTGACCTTATCAATATAGCATCACGGGCAGGTGATTTCCCCTTGCATACATTAAGATGGACTTTGTCCTTTTGATTTTCCCCTAGTGAGGTGAAGCTGACTGTGGCATCCTTCTTATCTGACCGAATTGTGGATGAAATCCTGGATGCGCTCTCAAATTCCCATCAGAAGCTGGTGAGTGTTTGAAGATCTTGAATGGGACCCTGTACCTCTGTGCTGCGTGGTGTTGTGGCTTCTTGTCTACTTTTTCTCTCCTAGTTTTCCTCCCTTCTCACCTAGCATGCTACTAGCCATTCTAGAGTAGGTTAGAATGTCTCCAGAGGGCAAGCAGAAGGAATGGTATCCAGAAATCTTGCTGTTCACTTCTAATGCAGCTAAAAAGTGTGGAGAGATGGTGATGTTGAGGCTGAAGTCTAAAATAGACTTTTCTTAAATTTTATTTTAAATCTGTGCTCTTTATTTTGTAGCTCCCTAATACGGTTACTTGAGAATGGGCTATTTTTGAAAACATGGGGGAGAATGAAGCATTTGGAGTCCAAAAAGCACAAGAATGCGACCGGCGCATTCTGATAATTGATAGTGACCAACTGCCTAACAGGTGTCTCGGGATATAACCGAAGTAGAAGTTCATTTTTTTCACCTAGAGACTGATTCTGCAGCAAGTAAAGGACTTTGCTTTCAATATGAGTGTGTATGAGAATGTATTTGGAAACTCCATGTTTCTCAAACTTCAGGAAGTCCTCTGAGGCACAGATGAAAGTTTTATCACTGGTTATTTTTTGTATCTGAAACCATTAGCAGAATTATGCAGTAGAGATCTCTCAAAGCAAGTTATAGCAATGTTTTCTGCAGAGACAGAATCACAGACTAGCTATGTAAGCTGGAGGCACCCAGTGTCATGCTATTAAATTGTTGGGTGACAGTAAAGATAAACCTCAAAAAATCAAACCAATTACCATCAAGTTGGGTCTTCAAGACTGTGAATTTTTGGATGCAGATCTCTAGACCTTTCTACTGAGCCTCTGGGTGGGTTCCAACCACCAACTTTTTGGTTAGCAGTGAAGCCTTAACCATTTTGTAACACCCAGGGACTTGGATGACACAAACCAAACCAGAACCAAAATCACTACCATCAAGTGAATTCTGACTCATAGTGACCCTGTTTAGAGTCTGAAATTAAAGCTTTATGGGACCAGATAACCTCATCTTTCTCCCATTAGTGGCTGGTGGATTTGAACCACTAGCCATGCCGTTAACAGGCTAGTGCCTATCCCACAATGCCACCAGAGCTCCTTTGGATAACGCTGTTGTTGTTAGGTGCTTCTGAGTCAGTTCCAACTCATAGTGACCTTGTATAGGGTTCCTGAGGAGCAACTGGTGGGTTTGAACCATCAACTTTTCGGTTAGCAGTCCAGTGCTTATCCTACAACATCATACCAGGACTCCTGAATAGCATTAGAGAACACTGAAAGAAGTGACATCCTCTTACACTACACAAGATGGACAAAATGACCACAGGTAGTCTCCAACTTAGGATGAAGGTTCATTTTGACAGCTCTGTCATAAATCAGTCTGATGTAAATGGAATACTTTTTTTTTTTTTTTAGTTTTCATTATTACTGCCTTTATTAGTAGTATCTTTATAAATTCAGTCTTCGAACACCTCCGAGTGAACATTTAAGAATAACATCAGCAAATGACGTGCTGTCACATTGTATGCGTGCCCTAGTGTGGCACTGTAGGATAAGCAACAGACTGGTAACTGCAGGGCTAATAGTTCAAACCCACCAGCTGTTCTTGGAAACCTTATATACAGGGTCGTTAGACGTTGGAACCAACTCTACAGCACTCAATAAGACTGTAGTGTGTATTAATAATGAATGATACAATGTACCCAAAAAAAATACAGTTGATCTAGCTCAACTATGACTTTAGTTGGGGACTATCTGTATTCTAAAATATTTATTGGAGCAAAATGCATAAAACTGTTAACTAGAATCTAACAAAGGAAGATAGACATCTCTTATAGTGTACTCAGTGTTTTAGAGCAATTTGACATGGCCACAGTATCCAAACACATGTTATTTTAATTGTTTTTTTTGTGGTTGTGTATGTTTTATTTTTATTGCATATTGCCAATATATTGGTTTGCGATAATTGTAAACATAAAAAATTGATTCATTACCACAGAGTTTGATAAACACTAATACCTGGTTTCTGGCATATTAAAGGATCTGCATCATTGCTTAAACCAGTCACCATTAAATCAGATCAACTCATGGCAACCCCAAGTATGTCAGTTAGAAGTGTGCTTCAAAGGATTTTCAGTGCATTTTTCTTTCTTTCTTTTTTTATTAGAAAGGAATGTATGAATACACTTAAAGTGTTTCATTTTAATAGTAATACTTGTGATTTTGATTGGGAAAAGACAGCTAACTGTTATGAAAGAGAAAATTTAGAAGGAAACTTTCTTTTCAGTGACATTTGGATAACATTAATGTTTTCTCCAACTGAATTTTAGATGTGTTCCCAAAAGTACCATGGAATTGTCAGCTGATTCTCATCATTTCTAAAGAATTAAATCAAAGTTCCTAGTGATGGATTAGCTCAGCAGTAAACCCCCAAATCCACTGACATTGAGTTGATTCCAGCTCATAATGACCATGGATAGGATTTCCAAGGCTGCAAATCTTTTCCAGAACAGAAAGCTTCCTCATTCTCCCTTGGAGCTGGGGCTTTGAACTGCTAACCCTGTGGTTAGCAGTTTAGTGCCTATCCTACAGCACCAACAGAACTCCTTAGCTCAGCAACAGAGTTTATTAATTTCAGCTTCACTCCTTCTGCCTCTTACCATTTAAAAGTTACATACTTAGTAGGCTTACTTAAAGCATAACACTGAAAATTAATAAATCATATCAAATATAATATTCATTGAATAAAAACAATGAAAGTAGCAATCATTATGTTGTTAGCAATTTCCTTTCTTCCAGTCCTTTCAAAATAATTAAAGTTGGAATCATTTTATTTCCCTCATTAGAATACATTTAAGTGCTAGATATAGAAGGAATTTCTTCTGAGAAATTATCAAATAAAGTTAATAACATTTCTTTATAGACAAAGTAGTTTCCTCATTTACTAAGAGAGATTTATAATTTCTAGTTTCAAACAGTCTGCCCTCCAAAGAGAGATAATAAAAGAGATGAGGTGAGTGTTACCCTGATGTGTTTAGAATTATTAACAAATTGTGACAGAAGCCCTCCACTGTGCCATATTGTGAAAGACATTTTCTGGGACTGCCCTAACCAGCTTTTCCCTTGCCTCTGTGCCTTAATTTTCCTTCCTTTATGACTTGGATCCCTAGGCTGACCACTTCACCAGGCGCGGCAAGACCCTTCCTCAGCAAGAGTCCTTAGAGATAGAGTTAGTCGAGGAGAAGACGGTGAAACACTCCCTCATCACAGTGGAGGAGCTAACAGAGATTGACCGTTTGGAAGACCTGGATACTTGTATGGTAAGACACATCCTCTGCTAATACACATTATCCAATTAATTTGGCTATACTGGTATTTTAGCATCTCACCTTTACTGGTCATACTAAACCAAACTGTCCTCCAAAGGGAATTTTTTCAGAAGCACGTTGCCTTGCTAGACTGTGAGGTGCCTCCCAGTTGGTTTCAACTCATAGCGACCCTATCACAACAGATCTTACCACCACCCACTTCCTCACCATCTTCACAATTGTTACGATTGGTCCTAATTTTTTTTGCCATTGTGTCACTCCAAAGTCTTGATTCTTCTATATTCATAGTCTAATTTTCACTTGCATATGAGGTGACTGACAATACCATGGTTTGGGCCAGGCACACCTTAGTCTTCAAACTGATACCTTTGTTCTTGAACACTATAACGAGGTCCTGTGCAGCAGAGTTGTCTAAGACAATAAATAACGTTGCTTGACTTCTTGGCTGCTGCTTCTATGAATGTTGATTGTGGATCCAAGCAAAAAGAAATCTTTGACGCTTAGCCTGGAAACTTGCCCTTCTGAGGTCGTATACCTAATTTTTTATTTGTTATTTTGTGTTCCTTTTCTTAAATAGGTCCTCCTCCCTGCAAAATATGCAAATAAATAAATGTGTCAGTTAATACAAAACTTAGATCTGTACTTATAGCCATCTCATTGTTGTTGTTGTTGTTGAGTGCCGTTGAGTTGGTTCCAACTCACAGCAACCCTGGATAGGGTTTCCAAGGAACAGCTGGTGGGTTTGAAACGCTGTGGTTGGAAGCCCAGTGCTTATCCTGTAGCACCACACCAAGACTTCTTGTAGCCATTGTGGAAAAAAGTCCTAAACTAATTAGAAAAAATCGATTATATCTAACTTTCCAAGGGCATTTGTGACAGGAAAATATCTTTAAATAGAACATTTGTTGTTGTTAAGTGCCGTCGAGTCGGTTCTGACCCATAGTGACCCTGTACAGGGTTTCCAAGGCTGTAAATCTTTCTCTTGTGGAGCACCTGGTAGTTTCGAACTGCTGACCTTGCGGTTCGCAGCCTGATTCATAACCACTACGCTACCCGAGCTCCTTAAATAAAACATTAGCTGTTTGTAAAATACCAAAGCTAACCACCTCTTTCTTGTTCTATTATCTTATCCTTTGCCCTTGGTACTTATTCATTCTTTACACAGTTTGGGGAACATTCCTTTGAATTTGGATTTTCTGTGTACTTTAGATTCTGTTTCATTTGGTTTACTTGATATGGTTTTAAAGATGGAATAAACATTATAGTGTTTACTTAACAGTAGGCCTTGGTTCCTTACCCATATTCTAAACTATACATTGTGCATCCATCTCATGTAATTCAAGTATCAAGTTGTCTATATATTTTCTGTGAGGACAACTATGCTTCAGTCCTGATTTTATTTTTTTCAAGATTATATGTTTAATTATATACATTATATTTTTCTTAAGGTTACTTCTCACTTTATCATTATAGTTGCATGTGGTTATTCATCCTTTGTTTTCAATATATTTGTTTCGCTGAGACACTCATTTTATAATTTCTTATCTCAGAGGTTGGTAATAAAACTAGGTTTGGATTAACTTTCCCAAATATTTCCACATTGCTTCTGATTTTAGGAATTTTTTTTTTCATGTAGCCATTATTGAGTGGTGCTTGCTTTGAACAAGAATGGTTCGTTAACTTTCAAAAGAAAGCATATGATGTGTGATGCGGCTGATAGTACTTTTCTAGCCTGAAAGACAGTGTGATTCCTGGAGTTGTTTCCTTATTTAAAAGTCATTCTTGACAGTTTTAAAAGTTTGCAAATAAGATAATGGAGTCCCCAGCAGATAAAGCCCTGTCATACAGAAGGAGAATAGTAAAGCAGACTTAAGATATAATCTTAGATTTCAAGTGTCATTCTTGTAAAATTAGATAAAGATGTCAGGCAATTTTCTATTTAAATATATTTGGTCTGTGTGGAAAGAATTAACAGGTTTTAAATGTTACTTGACCAGTAAGGTGTGAATTGTATGTTTAATAAGTATTTTAAATTTTGTTTGTGTTTAGAGGTAATAGAACTGGGCAGTGTTATCACTTAGTCTAAGCTGAAAAGCAAAGAGTCATAGGGAATAGATTGGAATTAAAATTTTAAATTCATTCTGCAAATCATGTTTCCAGGCACGTGTAAGTTGAAGAGGGGTAAGGATAGTGAGTTAGTGAAATGGTTTGGGGTGAGGAAGTATTGACTGTGAATGACCGGCTTACCTGTTATAACACTGGATTTACTTGTGCAAGTTAGTCTGTCTTTTTTGATTGATTTCATTTGACTTGAAAGACAGAAGTTGGTTCTCTTTAAATGAAGTAGGGTGAGGGAGATGAATTAGTTTAGAATGAAAGAAACGACAGATGCAGAAACGGCATCAGAACTCACGGGCAAACCAAAATGTAGACACACCCAGCAGCACACAGTTACTTCCAGTTTGTAAAAGTATTATTGCTGCAGCGAAGCATTATAAAGAGGCAGTAGGAGATGCAGAACTCTGAGCTGCACTCGGAAGACCACCCACGCTAGAAGGGTGGTCTTTTTCTGGCTCAGGTGGCCAAGAAGACAAGCAGCTAAGACCATCACTGGATGAGCACCTTCTGAATCAGGGTGAGGAGTAGTGTCTCAGGGGTTGAATGAATGACAGAGAAACACAAGATAGAACACTCTAAACACATTATTACATGAACAGACTTATAAAGTCATGAAAATAGCTTTTTTTGTTGTTATTCTAAAAAATTTTGTCTTTATTGTTCTTACTAGGCTGATCTGTTGTTAGAAAACTGGAAAGACTGTCTTGGCTGTTGGGTTAATTAAAAAAATATTTTTGTGTAAGGAGAACAAGTTAGTAGAATTTGTGCTGTATTATTTTCCTTTAAACCTGGTAACGTAGTGGGGTACACATTGAGCTGCTAACCACAAGGTTAGAAGTTTGAATTCACCAGCTGCTTTGTGGGAGAAAGATAGGCTTTCTGCTCCCATAAAGATTTACAATCTCAGAACCCCTAGATAGGGTTGCTGTGAGTAGGAACCAACTCCACAGCATTCAGCAACAGCATACTCTCAGCCTAATTGTCGGTTCTAAGCCTCCCAAAGATCACACCATTTACAGGATGACAGTTACTCCAAGTGTGGGGATCCCTAGCCTAAAGGAAATGGATTCTCCGAGCAAACTAGATGACACAGTGGTAAGCACTCTACTACTAGCTGAAAGATGGCTGATTCAAATCCTCCCAGAGGTGCCTTGGAGGACAGTCTTCGTGATCTACTTTCAAAAGGGCACAGCCTTGGAAACCCTATGGAGCACAGCTTTACTCTGCACACATAGTGTTGATGTGAGTTGGAAGTGACTATATTGGTAATTAATATCGATAATATCCTGAGCCAGTGGTGGAAACTCACTGCTAGTTTAGAAGGAGTAGCCTGCAAGATTGACTTTTTAAATGACATGTACTACCACTTTCCATAATCAAAATAGCAAATTGTTTTTATCTCTCAATTATATATATATATAAAACAATGTAAAATTTGAAACACTATTTCCAAAGGAGACAATTTTAGTTTCTGATTGTTTTCTGAAGGATTTATTTGTGGCTCTTGTGTCAGCTCCAAGTGATGGCATCTTTAATGTCTAGCAGACCATAATATTGCTTGGTCTTGCACCTTCTCATATTCCTTGCCAGCCTTTAGATCTAAAAGTAACCTAGGAAATTAGGACACAAGAATAAAAGGTAATGTAGCAAACTATTAGAAGGATTCCTAGTGGGGCACGGTAAGTCAGCAATTCACACTCATCAGCCGCTCCTTGGAAACCCTGCATAGGGTCTCTATGAGTTGGACTTCTGGTGTGGTGCTATAGGATCAGCATTGGTTTTTGAAACACAAGGTCAGCAGTTCAAACCCACCTACTGCCCCATAGAAACCCTATACATGGTAACAAGTCAGAACCGACTCCATGGCACTTAACAACAACAAATAAGCAGAAATACATAAGCATGTGTATGAAACCTTTTTCAATATGGAATTATACGCCCCTGGTAAGTAGAGACAAACCGTAGCACAGTGTGGAAAGCTCAGCTGCTAATCAAAAAGTTGGTAGTTTGAACCCACCAGCTTCTCTGCAGGACAAAGATGTTGCTTCTATAAAGATTCACAGCCTTGCAAACTTTACAGGGCAGGTCTACTCTATCTAGGGTCACCATGAGTTGGCATAGATGTAATAGCAAGAGATTGAGGCAGGTAAAGATTGTATCCCACCCAGAGCTGGAGCATTGTTGAATGTTATTGCTCTGGGAAATGCTTTAACTTTACAGTTACCTAAAAGGTTTTTACCCCTCCCTGACCACCACCACCAGCTCAAAACAAACAAACTAACACACACACACACTGAAATTTGTCTTGGCAGTCTGAAGTAACTGACTCATCACCAACCTTCTATTCATAGACTCAAGATTGTTAACTGATCTTAGCACTTTTGTTCTCCGTGATATGTACATCAATTATTTAATAGAGATTTTTGGATACCTTTTTTCCCCTGCCCTTGCATTTCTTTTTTTTTTCAATGTTTTATTGTGAATTATATGATAGTTTACACGGGGGAACTTCAGTTTTATATTCATTCCATCATATATCATCTCACTGCCATGGTTCCAATTCCCTCCATGCATCATCAACCACCCAAAGGGTATATTCCAGAAATCTGCCCCCTACACTTCCCCCTCCTCCCCCCAGTTTTTGGGCCACAGTCCCTTTCCCTCTCTGGGTCCAAAGTCCCCAGTCACTTCATCACTCCACGTCATCATCACTATCTCCATCTCAGGCATCTCTGTTTCTCTGGGCAGGGTCCCGCCCTCGGCTCTTCTCCGTTGATGGTCCCAGAGGCCTCCACTCCTATCCTGGAGAATTAATCACTCCTTTCCTTGTTACAAAACTTCTACCTTTGCATTTCCAACCCTCATAATCCATC